TAGGTTCCTCCCAGTTTAAAATAATGCTGCATTATTTAACATTATTCCTTAATGGTTCCTTTATGAAGCCGTGAGCCTTTATCTAGTCAATTTGTTCATGGTTTATTTTAAAAATCTTATATGCATGTGAAAATATGGGCATGAAAATATGAAGTTAATTTTTTTATTCACTTGTACCTAGTTGTTCATCACCACCTTCTCAAGGGGAACTAGGGATGGGCAATAAATGCTGGTCAGCCAACGATGCCTACGTCTAGTGAGTGAATTACAAAATGAACATATTATATTCACACCCAGATGTGATATTGCCTTTACACTTTCAAGCCTATATTCAGTCATTAAACTATTGTTTACACATTTTTATTGTCTGTGTTAAACTAGTCTATTAACTGAACCAGTAGCAAATGTGTGTCATCTCTACGTGTCTTTACAGGTATACATTGATTTTCAAAGTGGGCCTTTCTGGCTTTTCCTGCTAGCTGTATTTAATATGCATGCTTGTCCTAACTATTAGTTATATCTCAATCAAACCTGCATTCCAAACCAGACATTGTTACAATGTAAATCAATTTACTTTGCTAATATTTAATCAAATGTTGAAAATTTACTTCCATTTACCAGCCTGTGATATTTCCAGCCTCTTGTTTCCCATCTTCAATCTCCAGTTTTTCACAAATTCAGCATTTTGCTGTACCTGCCATTTTTTGCTGGTGATACACTTTTTAAAACCATCTTTTGTCTTTACTGACGGTTCTTTTGGCCTTTCAGTCAGGTGTCCTGTATAATTCTGTATTTCCTCCAATAATTGAAAATATTTAGAATTTGGGGCTTTGTTCTAGCCCCTACTATTGAAAAACTTCCTTAGATTCGCAACTCATTAAAAATACTTCAAGGTCTGTAATTCATTTGGAACATACGGGGCTTCTGAATTATAATAAATACAAGTCTAGTAAAAGAAATTCTGAAGCTTTTTTGGTTGCGAAACATTAACTCTGTTTCTCTTTGCACAGGTTCTTTCAGACCTGCTGAGTTGCTCCAGTATTTTCCATTTGTATAAAATGTAAGTCCATCGTTTCTCATTTACTTGAAATGGGTAGCCAGGTGCAACACTGAGATCCTTCACACCTCCATCAACTATTGCATTCCTAGCTTTTTTGAAATGGGTGCTAAATTTCAGTAAATCATTCATTTCCAATTCTGGCATCTCCGTATACGTCACCCAGAGTATAGTCAGGAAATGAAATTTTGGGCACTTATGGTGGAGTGGTAGTGTTCCTAACTCTGAGCCAAGGGATCCAGATTAAAATCCCATCTGCTCTCGAGGTCTCTAGTATTATCTCTAATTTGAGCTCATGCGATTTGTGTTGATTCTTCTCCTGCACCTAGCTAGTTTAATACCATCTTCTCCCATTAAGAACGATTCTAAAGTGTGAATAATTTCTGTCTTATATTTTATCGGGAACTGATTCATTTCTTCCACACCAGCAATCCCCAACCGGCACCTCGAAAACAAATTGCTAATCCCAAAAACCACCGTCTCCATCGTGGCCCCACCCCACACGTGTTCCAGTGATTGACAACAGAATAATCCAATAGGAGCACAGTTTAGCAGGACCTGACCAATCGTCGATGAGAGGCGTGGGGACTTGATAGTTCGCTGACGGTTGCTGGAGGCGGCGCGAGACATCATTTGTTTACAGAAAAGAGGCGGGAGTGTGTCACCGACATTTTGAATAGAGCCGTCTTTATTATTTCAATAATTAATGTTAGGAAATGGATTGTTGGTGTTTTTAAACACAAAAAAAATCTGGCTCGGCAGTATGGTGTGAAATATGATTTCAGTAAGTCTCCTTGCAATGTGAATATTTTTTATAAAGCACACACTCCGTGAATTAGACAAGACGTCAACATTTTTTTTGATCAACCTTTTAGTGAGTTTATTACACAATTGGAGCAGGTTGGACATGAACCCCTGCCCAAAGGTTAAAAACAAAACAAAGTCCCCATGGTTAAAACACCTGACGGTCACCCTACCCCAGGCAAAGGGAGAGCTTGAGAAGGATAAACCTGCATGGTAACCTTGGTGGACAGGAGAAATGAACACTATTGATATCACTTTGCATCGCAAATTGACTGTCTAGTCAATTAAGCTAACCGAGCTCTGCCGCGGTTCAAAGACATTAGATAATACTTCAAGGCTTTATCGTATCTAATGGCACACGAGTCCGACAAAGCGTGTTCTTATATCTTCTTCCATAGCTGTTTATTGTTTCACGCTAGTTTGTCACCCGAGGCTATTACAGTTTAATGTGGAAATCTTGAAGTTTGGTCTGTCATTTCATTCCCTGCTGCAATCTGTACCATCAGTGATTCAACTGATCTCGTGAGAACTTCCTATCGTCCACTGTCATCACTCTTAGAAATCGCATGAAAAGCTTTGTTTGCTGGGATGTAATCGGGTTTCTAACTGCAATGTGAGTCAAAACTACAGTTGAATACCAATCTAGCCCTGAAAAAAAAATCATTTTATATTCGTGGAATGTTGTTCAATGTCTAGATTATGTTCAATTTTTAAAGCTAGAATTTTTAAATTCTTTTGTTCATGATATTTTAGCTTCAGCCTTTATCTTATCCACGTCTCAACCTTTATTTTGCCCTTTAGAAAATTCTTAAAATGTGATTTGATTGTTAGTGCTTTTCATTTTCTGCTTGATTTGACTGTGAAAATTCCTAATGTAATTGGCTGCTTAGACAATCGGATACATCACTGCGGCCGATGCTCCATTAAATAGTGTTAAAGTTAACTGCACACCAAGAGAGGTATATTCCTCATCAGACAGTGTGAGAATGCTCGGTTTTGCTTTCCTAGAAGTCAGTAGCAAGCTACTCGGCTTGTGATCTCTGTTGTTTTATTATTGGGAGGCGTCGAACAGGGAATTGTCTTGATGGTCTGTTTTGCATACACACATTGCTAAGTTGGTAACTGCATCGATAGAAACCATACCAGGTCTCCAGCTTGTCCTGTTGGCAAATTCTGTTAAGATTTAAAAATAAACAGGTACTTACTAATTTTCTTTAGTGCTCTATTACTGTTGTGTCTGCTTGCAAAATGTTTATTGTTGGCACACAACCAGCTGTGCATGTCGAGCGGAGCATCGATACAAATAGTGTGTTACAACAGCAGATAGAATTGTATACACAACTAAGAGCACTGTTACAAAATATTGTGATAAATCAACAGAACCATTGATGATCAGTACTCAGGACAGACAGTATGTGATACTTGGAATTTTTACATGAAATATCAGAATAACAAAATGTCTTGCTTACATTAATCATCAACATGAAATTTATCCCAAAACTAGGGTATTTCATTTCTTGCTTGGCAAATTGCTAAGATAGAAATACAAATTATCCCAAATTTCTAACAGCTTCAGACTGCTAGACTATCTGGCTGCAAGCCCAGCAAGATGTATCACAGATTCCTCAGAATAAACCATACATCTCTCCATCTCAAAAAATGCTACCAATCAAACTGATACCTTAAAATTGTATATACATGTTAATAATGAAATCAGATGTTTGAATTATGTGGAAAGGGTAGACCTATTGATCCAAACATTTGTAACCGCAGGAAAATACCATATCTCCAGTCAATGACTTTGGACAGAACAATATTAATAGCTCTTTGCGTTACAGATTGTAGCATATTTAATTACTCTCAGGATCAAGCAATGTAATGCCTTCAATGTATAATAGCATAATACGTATTCCCTCCAGCGTGTGGGAAGTTAGCACTACTAAAATAACCCTTTAAATGGTGTGACTGGCAAAAAAATCTAATAAATAATTTTAATTAACATAATATAATTTTATATCACTCTTTGAATATTTTGCTGTAGAAATATTATATTTTGTCAGCCATTCCACCTAGTAGAGTAGCGAATAATGCCTATGAATAAGCCAAAATTCTGAACTGGTAACTCCAGTTTAGTTGAATTTATGTAAACTTGTCATTGAGAATATCAAACATTCAAAATGCAGTTAATCACACAAGCATGTAAAATTATAGAGTACTGGCAAGTCACCATTTGTTTTCAAGATCTAAGATAGACAAAGCCTGCAAGTGTGACTACACCTGTGAAAATATTAAAAATGTCAGTCAGAGAAAAGGTGAAGTTGAGAAAGTAAATCGAAAGTTGAGGAGTACAATCCAACTGCTCTAGAGGCCACATTAATGATGGCGTGAAAGATGGTGATGAAAGCCATAATGCTAATTCTATCAACCATGCTAGGTACTAAAGGGCTATGACTGCACAAGAGACCTAGAATGAGGAGGAGCAGAGTGACATCAACCAACCAGATAGCTAGGCTTCTTTCTCTGGGAGTGGGCATTGTAATTCAAGAAGAGACAACCACGGAAAATTGGATGTGGACGACATTGTATGATACACTAAGAATTTAGAGATGAGGAAAGGGAAGATGCAATATATTTTTCAAACAAGGAGATTGATGATCCTGAAGAGTCTGATGAATGTTTTCTGCCATCTCGCTTACCTGCTTCCCTAGCTGAAGTTGCAAAGACCTCAAAGTGCAGTAAAAGGATGCTTCAGGATTTCACACTATGGCACAAAACTACAGAAAACATACTCAATGACATTAACAATACAACTAAGTATATCATGCTTGTAGCTCAAAATTCTGTTTAACGTAAATTTGTGGGCACATCCCTTTGAATTTGATTACTGTATTTTGAACTGAGTTTTGGGACGTAAGTCTTGATGGAAAGTGAAAACATTTGATTTGCAGCACAAATAATAGTATTTTTATTACATTTTAATGTAGCTGACTGTTTAAGAGCGCAATCATTACATGATATTTTGTTAAACCATGAATCTTTTGGGATCATTCCTTTAGCAATTTTAGGATTCTTCAAAAATAATAATCACATAACTAATTTCTACTGTGATCGTATCACTGTGTGGTTTCTTTTCATCTTCGTAGAAATGATTCCAGTGTCAGAATTATCATATTTTGGAGAACAAGACCCAGCATTCAAAATCCTGAAGCCCTGGTGGGATGTGTTTGCAGAATATCTGACACTTCTAATGGTTTTGGTCTCGATGTTTGGAGGAGCACTGCAGGTAAAATTATGAGAAAAAGGCTCTATGAGGGTATTTTTTCTCAATTGAATAATCTGCCCATCAGGTGGATGTAAAAATTCCTGTGGTACAGAAGAGCATAGAAGTCATCCACAATCTCCTAGCCAGTATTTATCCCTGAGTAAACAGGGAGGTAGATACAGGGGAGACGTCAGAGGTAGGTTCTTTACTCAGAGAGTGGTAGGGGCGTGGAATACATTGCTGGAGAGGGTAGTGGAGTTGGCCTCATTAGGGGCATTTAAGCGGCTATTAGATAGGCACATGGATGATAGTATAAGGTAGGGATAGATCGACCTTAGGTTTAGGGTAAAAGTTCGGCACAACATTGTGGGCTGAAGGGCCTGTACTGTGCTGTACTGTTCTATGTTCTGTGACAGATTATCAGGTCATTATCACATTTAGTGTAGGGGCTGCTGTGTTTCCCACATTACAAGAGGGTCCACACATCAAAAGGACTCAATTGGCAGTAAAACATTTTTGGGACCTCCAGTTTTTACGGAAAGCTCTCTATAAATGCAGTTTTGTTTAGACACAAATGGGTCACAAATGAGGAAAAGTGGTTTCTACTCCTGATCGCTATCCTGTGAGGGATCCATGTGCATGTTTATCCTTGGGCAAGGACAGACACTTTGACCTCCAAGTTTCCAAGGACAACTATTCTGCTAGCACACATTGTTCAGTTTCTTATATGAAGGACTATTTCAGCAAGTTATACGTATTCTCAGGACATGTCAAACATATTTAAAATTCACAGTATTACTTTTTTAAAAATGTTGAATTACTGTAGTCTTGTAGACAAAAATCATATCAAAATTGCATACAGTGAATAACTACAAAAACAACATGCAATACATAGCACCTTTAGTATAGAAAAGGAGGTTTGCAGAGGGATTATTAAAAAAGGCGTGGATGTTAACTCATGGTAGGAGACTTTGGAAAGGTGACTGGCGACCTGGGTTTCATAATAAGCTCTGAAATATTGCTTAAAGATTATAAGGAAAGAAGAAAGATTTCCAGACAGCAGGACTGAAGGTGCTGCAACTGGTGGGGAAAGGGACAAATAGTAAACAAGACATTTTTACCAGTTAAAATAAAAGCAAAATACTACAAGTGCTGCACGTCTGAAATTACTAGTTGGTGACTTTCTGTTATAAGAAAAATTAGATTTTTTTGCAAAAATATACTTCATTCATAAAAATATAAGAACATTAAAAAAAAGTTCAAACTGTACATTACAGAAAATACAATAAAAATATCACATTTCTCAGTTGATCATTTTGTGCTCTTGTGTGCCTCATTCCAAATGCAAAAGTGGAGTATTTACTAAATATGACAAGAACTACATACAGTTCAATGCAAGCATTCTGCTCCTGATATTCTACAGGTTAACAGCCCCTTGGAATGCCATGTGAAAAAGTCCTTAGACAGTGATCTTTCCCTATGACACCTTGGCATGGCTGTCCAGAGTGCCTCTCAGCATCTGGTCCTGGACCTTGGAATGTGCAAGTTTGCAACAGTCAGTCAAGGATAATCCTTTGCACTAAAATACCAACAAGTTTCAGCTAGGCCAAAGAGCATCTTTCACTGAGTAGATCGTCCAACAGCTACAGTTGATGTTTGTCTTGGCACACATCCCAAGGAACAGTCCATAGAACACAGAGCTGCCATGCGGAGCCGTTCAGGAAAAACCTCAACAGAAACCTCTCTCTCTCCAGATGCTTTTTTTTTGTAAAGACACATTCCTGAAGGAGATATGTGATGTCTCTTCACCACTGCAGCTCTCTCAAGTGCAGTTAATGATGGTGCACTGTCCAGGCATGCATGATTGATCTTATGGAGAGTGCCTTCTCACCACCAGCCAGGCTATGTCTTGATGCTTGTTAGAATGTTCTGTTGATTAGGCACTCTGTCAAATGATTTTGACAGTCTGCTTACTGAACCGTACAACAGAATCAACTGTCTCCTTTTCTAGGAGGGCCCTGAGGATGTTACATGCTGACCACTGCCTGATGGTCAAAGATGTTTCTCTGTACAAATGTTTCCATGAGTAAACTACTTGGAAGATTCCAAGGAAACATAGCCAGACCCATCCCTTGCAACACTAGGGCCAGACAGAACCTTGGTTCTGTAATGACACTTGTGTGCCTACACACAGCTTGATGCAACCACACACAAGAGATTTGTACATTGTGTCCTGCAGATATGATCCATCTTTGACCTTCAGATGAAATAGATATAGCTCAGGTGACTGCAGTACAGGGTGGGGAATGACGGAGGTTGAGGGGTGACCTGATAGAGGTCTATAAGATTATGAAGGGCACGGACAGAGTGGACAGTCAGAAACTTTTTCCCAGGGTGGAAGAGTCAGTTACTAGGGGGCATAGGTTTAAGGTGTGAGGAGCAAGGTTTAAAGGTGATGTACAAGGCAGGTTTTTTACACAGAGTGGTGGGTGCCTGGAACTCGCTGCCAGGGGAGGTAGTGGAAGCAGATACGACAGTGACATTTAAAGGGCGTCTTGACAAATACATGAATAGGATGGGAATAGAGGGATACGGTACCCAAAAGGGTAGAGGGTTTTAGTTGTGACGGGCAGATGTCGGTGCAGGCTTGGAGGGCCGAAGGGCCTGTTCTTGTGCTGTAATTTTCTTTTATTCTTTGTTCTAAATCCCATGACACCAGGTTATAGTCCAACAGGTTTATTTGAAAACACAGACTTTCGGAACCTTACTCCGTCATGTGCAACAACACTGAGAGCATCTCAAACCTGATGACGAAGAGAGTGGAAGTGGCACTCTGACCCAGTTTCTGGCTCATCTTAGTTGCACACTCCTAGTATTTAGTGCACGTCCCGGCCCCTTTGAATGATGCACCCAGGATCTTCTGAATCAGACCTATACTGTATGCATGTGAATGTACAGAATAAGGTAAATCAGAATAGTGAGTTACAAACATAGATTGCCATGTGCAAAAATGATGTTGTGCTGATAACAGAGACCTGGCTCAAGAAATATTCCTGGGTACAACATCCCTTCATAAAAGATAGAAAAGGAGGAGGTGTGCCTGTATTGGTTAAGGAGAGCATCGCATGCTGGAGAAAGAGGAGGCCCTCGTAGGTTCAAGGACAGAATGAATTTGACTACAGCTAAGGAATAAAAAAGGGTGCAATTACATTGTTCAGTGTTTTCTGTAGACGACCAACTAGTGGAAGGAGATAGAGGGAAAAATCTGCAGGGAAATTACATAACAGTGCAGTCACTTTAGTATAGTTGTAATGGGGTTCTTTAGCGCTATGCCAGTATTCAGATGATTAATGTAAATAGCAGTGTAAAGACTGAATATATTTTTAAACTGGAAAATGGTAAGTTGGACACTGCTGTGTTGCAGAAGATGAATGAGTTTTTCTTATAACTCAAAGGAAAAATGGAATTTTGTCAGGTTCACTTATTGGTTACATAAGGACATGTAACTTTTAGAGAAGATTTGATACTCTTGTGAGATAAAAGTACATTGGAATTTGGATTGAAAAAATAACAACAAAATCTTTTGGATAGTTAAGTTGCTTTTTGTTACAGAACTGAGAGAAGGGGCAGTTGTACTCAGACTTCCTAAAAGCTTGCATGCCAAGACAAGTCTCTCTCTTTCTTTCTCTCTTTCTGTCTGTGAATGGAAAAGAAATAGCACTCAGAGGTAGAAAGTAACTTCCAACACAAACAAAAAACTAAGTGACCAGCCACAAACGTGAGGATGGCAGCAGTCAAAAATAATGTGTTAAAATTGCCAGTGACCAAAGAACTCCACGGAAGTCGTCTTGTTCCAGTCTTGTGGTATGGACTTTTGATCCACAGAATTGATTCCTTTCCTCGTAAGTTTTCTACCCATGAAATTGCTGCACAATTGTCTTTTTTTTCTCTTTTTATGTATGAATGAATGCATTGGAATTTAAAGGTTGTGTGATCTTATTGGTAACCATGACCCAATGGCTAACAGTTGAAGCTCAACAAGCATGATAGGAACCTGTGCTAACTTCATGAAGACTTTGAGTCAGCTTGGTGTAAATCTGTAAGTGAAGCTAGACTGCTGACCAAAGCAAATACCCAGTGCTAACAATGGAAACAAATGTCTTGTATTTACACGACCCAGAACTATGAGGGTCTTGTGCAAGGGATACATGACATAAAACATTCTGGAAGAGTGGGAGAAAACATATAAAAGAAGGCACATCGAGATATCAAGAGTGACAATTCAACACCAGTTATTGAGAAGAGAAGACTCTGAGTTCAGAATTTAAAGAACAGATTCATCAGAATGAACCTGATCAGTTCAGCATGTATGGGTAGTACCTAGATTCCAGTCAAACAGTTAGATAGTGTATTGATTGTGTGCTTAGTAAAAAGTAAAGAGTTACTAATAAAGAGGAAGTTGTATTAGATTCTGATTTGGGCGTCTGTCCTTTATCTGTAATGAAATTCAAGATCCTAGTGGTAAAGGGGTCAATAGGTGGTACAGTTTAAGTTTTCATTATTAATCATTGATCCATTTTGCAAATAGTTTGATGATGAAACCAGGTGTGAGTTTCTTTAATCTTGGATATTGGTCAAAATTTCAAACATTACACCCTTGTTAAGGATAACCCGAGCAATTACGGGTGAGTCGTATAACTTTGGTGGTAGCTTCTAGTAACAATTAGTTGGGATAGAATTAAGTCACATAGCAAATATGGGTGATTAGGAAGGCTAACATAGATTTCTTAGGGAAAATCATGTGAAAGTAATTTCTAGAGTTTTGTGAAGAGGTTAGAGAGAGGCTTGTTGAGGGTGGTGCTGATGATGTGTACGTGGATTTCCAAAAGGTATTCAATAAAGTGCTATACAACAAGGGAAAAGTGATAGCTCATGAAAAACAAGGAACAGTAGCAATGTGGATACAAAATTGGCTCTGTAAAGGAAACAGAGAGTTAATAGATATTTTTCAGGCTGGAAGA